TTTCGATGAAATTGCCATCGTTTATCATCATCAGGGAGATAACTAAATAAGTAATTACAAAATAAATGTATAAGTACGTAAGTAAAAAAGCAACCACACAAATAAGTAAATACGTGAACAAGAGAGTAAATGAGTACCTAAATAAGGAAGCAAATGGATGAATATCTAAGCAAGAAAACGAAACCATTTAAATAAGTAGATAAGTGCACAGATAACTAAATGTGTGAGGAAGAGAGTAGGTAAGTACGTAAGTACTGAAAGCAATCACACAAATAACTAAATACGTGAGGAAGAGCGTAAGTACTTATGTAGTGAAACAAATGGGTAAATATGGTGGCAAGAAAGCAAACAGGTATGTCAGCAGATAAACATGTACGTAAAAGAAGTATGCTAATATCGGATACCGCCTCTGATTTGCTAGTTATCAGTAAGAAAGACAAGAACAAATTTCTTAATTTAGCACAGATCCAACATCGCTTTCGATCAAGGAAATAAACTTTAACTGCCTTGTATCACGAAAACCGATCGACGCTACCTACGATAGGAAGGATCGACGAAGCCATGCCTGAGTCCTGAGCAACAGCAGGGAGCAGAGTAGGAAGTAGGACACTGCAGCCGCACATAACGAAGACTATCTTTACAGAACCCTGGCATGGAGTGGAGTGGCAAAGAATGTTTGAGATTAAATCGGATTCAAATAGGTTAAGGGCACTTTGAACACCTCCTGCACCACTGGAAGATGAAGCGCAGCCCGCAAAGTGCATGCAGGGATGAAGATTTGACCACGCATCACATCATCTGAGAATAACCGTGGCAAAACTTCGACGGGAACATGACCAATGTCCAGAATGCTACCGTGACGGCAATTCATTAGTACAGAAATCCGGACACTCAAATATAAAGTTTCAAGCTGCCTCTTCCAATCATATGATCGGCAAAAGAAGAAGGGAAGTAACAAATGTGATAGTAACGTAGACGACAAAGTATATAGGTAAGCAAGTGAGCAAC